AAGGAAAAGAAGCAGTAAGCTTGTTTTCTCTGTGCAGGAAATGTTTTCTCTATAGCAACAAGATGAGTTCTGAGGTTAAACAGTGCAAATGTGGACTTCAAAGAAAGAAGGGTGGGCATATAAGAATCACAGAGTGGATTAAGTGATTTACTAGAAATAACTTGTCCCTGTGCTGCCCCTGTGTTTTAGCCCTATGCTGTCTCCCAGAAGAGACAAGCCTGTCTCTTGATACAGTTTTTGATTAATTCCGCTTCACATTCAAAAATACCAGCTCTCCTGAAAAAGGGTATTTCTTTCACACTCCATATTACACATGCCAAATACTTTATTGTACTAGATACAACCTCTAAACATTTACAGTAAGTGCACTTAGTAACAAAATTGTTTGCCAAAGCTCATTGGCTCTCTCAATACTTTTGAATTACAAACACTGCTTTATTTAAACAGGAAAAATTAACAGATTCCTGAGTCTCCCACATACACTTCTGGTTATCAGAATTTTATCACAGGCAAAAGGGAACATTTCATGGAGGCTCTTGTTAAAATGCTGGCAGCTACCAGTGTGTTGGATTTCCATGTACCGCAGAAGACAGCAGCATAGCTTAAAATCCTTGTGCTCCGTGTTTTTTTGTGGCTTTTGTTTTGTGAGGTTTTTGTTGTAATTGTTTTGGTTTGGTTTGGCTGTTTTGTTTGTTTTCTTTAAATATCAACCTCTTTTTAATCTTCTTGATAGATTTAAAAAAGAGGAGCTGGGTCAATAGCTTCTTAGAAAATCCTCTAAGAGAGGAAAATGGAAGGAAAGATAAGGGCACATTTTCTTAAGGAGCTGTGGCTGGACAGGTGTGGATGTCAGTAAAGCTAACTCTCTATTGGAAGTGGCCTTTCCAATCAAATGGAAAAGCCAAGCAATTTGTCTGTACAAATCAGATTGCAGTTGCAAATCCCCTCCTTACAGACATCAGTGTATAGCACAGACTGATGCCTCACAGCAAGAACTGGTTTGAAAGGACACGACAGGTACACTTGCAATAACAGGAAAGCCCTTAACAGGACCAGAAAAAGGAAAAGCCTGTATTTCCCTCTGCAGCAAGTGGAAAAAATTAGCCAGTTTACTACTGAACTTTGCCAGCTACATCCAGTCTCGAGGTCAGAAGAGACCCAGAACAATGACAGGGACACCAGGGACGGGGTCACACCTCCGTATGGGGTGGGGACAATGCCCTAGAGAAACGCCTTTGCCCACTCTGCTTTGCATCACCTTTTCACACAGATTGAAAGACAGACCAGGGGTGTTTGCATCAAAGCCTCTCCATTTGGTGGTGTTCTTTTTAATCCCACCTGGTAAGACCAATCTGTATGGTGAACTTTTATTTCTTACACAGAAAAATCTGCATGTTTTTTGTCTGTGGATACCCACTGCAGACAGGTCTGGCTGCTGCAGTGTGTCACAGACAGAAACCCTAGATGGCTTTACAGTAGTTAAGTAAGGTATCTGGTAGTTAAATATGGTATCTGGTAGCATACTTCTGGAGCAACACAAAGGTCAGAAAAAGCTACAAAACCTACTTCAGAAGCAGAGCCCACTTCGGTTTCCCTTGAGACACCACTCCTGGGACCCAGACTGGCCATGGTTAAACCCTTGCCCACCACACTACTACAGACCAACAGATAGTCCATGGAGCTTAATTTCAGTGCAATCCTATACTGGGACAAATTTATGTTGATATCCAGAAGTTAGCAGAGGAAGGAGAACGAAAACACTGGACATAAGACATGTCCCCTCCTTTCAGACATCCAAGTTACCCAGGCTTAGTTTGCCCCATGAAGGTAGCAGGCCTGCCCTTACCTTTTCACCAAGTGGCCTTCTCCGAGCCTTTGTTGCCCGATTGTTTAAATGCTGCTACAGCTGTGACTATTTGCAAAGGCAGAGTTAAAAAAACCCCATATGGCAACTATTAAAAAAAACTCCATTACTGGTGCACTATGGAGAGAGAGAGGTATGCTTAACTTTAGGAATCAGCAAAAAAGCCTTTTTTCGGTCTGCCCTCTCTTCTATCTGCCCAGCTCTAAGTATCTCAGTCAGAAGCCAGCCTGAAGCTGCCAAGGGATCCCAGAAACCTCAAAACAAACAAACAAAAAAAAAGGTGCTGAAAAAAAAAATCAGTGTGTCAAACATACATAGAATATATTTTCAATCTTTTATTAAAAAAGTTGTGCTTTTTCTGACCAATGGGTTACCTAGCTACTGTATACATCACAGCAACAGGGAATTAAAATACAAAGGCCATCTTTTTAGTTAGTTTTCAGATTTATACTGCCACTGAAAATACAATGAAAATACATTTTCCTTGATCTGCAAATGATATACCTTTTAACACACAACTTCCCACCACTACAATTCTGACACAAACACCATTACATTTGAACTTCAAGAGGATTTACTTGGACCAGAAGCAATCAGCAACAAAAGAATTTTAATGACTGTGGGAGGATTGTTGGTATTTTAAGAAGTCTTCTAAAACCTTCTGAAGAATTTGAGATAAGTAAAAATAAGTGGGGCAATCTTTTTCCCTAAGTACTTTGCACCATGTTTTCACATAGCAGAAATGAGTTCTACAACTGCACAATGAGGCTGGAAAATCTGAATAGAAGTGCAAAAATTAAAAAAATTCTGAGATGACAACAAATGGCTGGGAATCATTCTAAGGAACACAGCAAATGAATCCTTCTATTCCAGGCTCTGGTTTTTATTCTCTTTGCTCACTGGAGCTTTAATTTCATTAGCTTGCAAAGAACTACTCAATTCACAGATCAGATTTCTTAAGGATATAGGAACAACATGGCAACAACACAAAACACTAATTAAATTGTTACACAGCAGCCATATGCTCAGCGAGTTCCTCTAGCAGAATTGTACAAGCAATCTTCCTTCTGCTGCATTTGATCTGAAACATTGCACGTCACCTTTTAGAAGAAAAGCCACCTGTTGTCAGACATGCTACTGGATTAATATACCTGACAACTGAAATTTGACTGCTGCTAAAAGTTCAAAAGGTTCACTTTCTTGAACTGTTGAGTGCCTCCTTGGGTTGAACTATGTACCTGGACAGCAAGTGCCCTCTGTCACAACCACAGTGATGACAGAAAACCTCCTTGGGCATCTGTCTTCACAAGAGGCCTTTGGACCCACCCATGTTCAAACAGCCACACCACTCCTGTTTTCAAGTTATTCACCCCTGGCTTCTCAAAATCCACCAGACTTCCAGCAGGTTAAACTAGGGTGAATGATTTGCTGCTGTTTTGTAACATCATCCTCCCACACTATCCGGATGAGATTCAATAAAAGCATGCAAATAGCAGTGAAAAGAGCACTTGGAAAGGGCAACCCCTCAGCTCAAAAACCCTCAGACCCTAGACTAAAGTGTCTATGATCTTCTACTTTTGTGGGGATGTTAGGGACAGGAAAAATGTTCTTGCTGGGTCCAAGGAAGAAAGGTACTCCAAGCACTCTTGACAAAAAGAAATTATTTTTCACTCAGATAGCCTCTGTCTTTGGAGGCAGTCTTACCCTCTCCTTTCTTCTGCTTACCTTCACTAGTTCAAGCATCAAGCAGGCACTAAGGAAAAAATATGAGCAGATTAGCAAGCAGATGCTTTTAAATGAAAAGGTTCATACAGCCTATTCTTCTGTTTCCCAGTACAATTCTGTGAATAAAACCAAATCAACCTGTACATTCACTTGCTCTCAAATACAGTCAGAAGAAAGACTGGTTTTGTTCAAAGCAAGTGGATGTATTCAAAACCTTGGTCAACTGGCAAACAATGTAATGTCTACCTTCTACTCCACCTTCCACAGTGTCCGCACAAAACTAACTTGACAGTTCAGGTGGATTTCAGTTTGACTGAAAGCAGCATCATAACTCCCACTTGATTCAGTGGAGGCAGGATTTGTTAACTTGTTTCTCTTTCCTCTCTCAGGAAGGAACTGCCTATTCCAAGCAATTTTCTGCTTGGAAGCATAAAATCCAAGCACCTCCTCAAAGCAAGAGATGCTGAAAACACTGGGTTTTGCTGAGCTGACCCTCCACTCTCCATTTTTTCCCTGCACAAATGGGAGAATATCATCCCTTAAGTTACATTCCAGTATGGTACAATGAAGGATATATATATCTCTGGGTTTTTTGTTTTGTTTTGAGGGATTATTTTTTTGTTAGTGTGGGGTTTTTTCTTGACTTTTTTTTTTTTTTGTTTCTTTCCCTTTTTTTTGGTGTTTTTTGTTTTTTTTTTTTCTTCTTTTTGTTATAGAAACAAATTATGACAAGAACAGTGCCAGGAATTTACTGTTGGTATATTTTACATTGTTAGGAGAACACACAGTTTCCTGGACAGAAGTCCCAAGTTTTTTTATCAGCAAGGTCCCACCTTTGCCTAGATTTACCTCTCTTGATGAGTTTTGTTTACTATCAGTGATTCTTGGTAACTGATATTTACATGAGTGACATTTCTCTTCAAAACAGTCTCATACGAAAAAACCACCTGTTAGCTTAGGCATTTATAACAGTGTACATGTATGGCTCTGTAATATGGTCCAGTCATTTGCAATGGATTACTATCTTGCAAAGTGTCGACTTTACAAAATAAAATTGTGCCTTGGTTCTTAGTAGCCCACTGCTTTTGAAATGAAGGAGGCATAATTTGAATGGTACCCTACAAATACTTCTCAGTGCAAAAATGCAGAATGTGTTTTGTTTTCAATTACCAGAAAGGTTCCATAAAAACATACCTTTTCTTTTTCCCCATTAGAAATGTTTTTTGCCATGAACAAGAAAAGCATTCCAAGAATATGCCAAAAATACAGTTTTTGCAATCTACCAACCTGACTGTAGCCCTTCAAGGGCCTTAGGGATGTGTCCTACTTTAAGAACTTATCCATAAAAAACTTGGTACCCCTCACATGTTACAAATTTCATACTGTACTTCAAAGAAGAACCTTATATACATTGTGACTAAAGTACTGTTTATTTCATAATCTAAACAAACACTGGAATACAGTCTATGTTTTTCTACTTTCCGGCAGACTTTACAAAGAGCTTTTTTTTTTTTTTTTCATAATTAAAACAATCTGCATACACACAGAACATGCATTCTCTAACACCAGTAATGAAGGTAAGAAGAGTCAGTTTCCCTCATCTTCCTCTTGCCTGTGTTAGAAAAAAATACTTTTCTTTTTACTGTAGTTATGACAGTGTGGCTAAGGATACAAAGACTAGAGCACAGTTTTACTCCCTGCACAGAAAATGTTCATCACAAGCATGCTGATGGTGATACATATTACATGTCTATTAAATGATAGGCATAGTTTTATCCCCTTTACTCCCTTTTTAAAAATACTAAGTGGCTACATGTAAATGCAGTGAAGCAGGTATAAGCTTAATTAATCAGAGTTGATTCAGACTGGCACCAAGATGCAGCAAAGTCCAACAAAGTCTCAGCAAGGCTTTCCGTGGTTATTGATGGCCTCTTCTGCAAAGCAACTACTTTCTACTTTTTCAAAGTAGAAATCAAAGGCTTTGCAGCATGGCCAATCCTGTGGACAGGGCAGTCTGCGCTGGTACGTCGCCCCCAGAAAAGATGCACTTGTAGTCCATTAGTGTTTGAGAAAACGTGAGTGGGTTACCTTCCCTGGGGCCACGCACCTGCCCCGCCCGAGCGTCGCCCGCTGCTCTTTGTCGGTGAGGCGGCTGGCTGTGGCTTCACACCACGGAGTGGTCGTTGCTGTGGACGCCAGCCAAGATGGTGTGGTTGAGGGAGGAGGCTGAGCGGTCCGAGCCTTCGGTGGGGCCGTTGGCGCTCTCGCTGCGCTGGCAGCACAGGATCTGCTTGAACGTCGCACTCATCTCCTTGTCCCGGTAGGAGTAGATGATGGGGTTCATGGCAGAGTTGAACTCTGCCAGGAGAAGGAAGAATTTTTCATAGGCCAGGACGTTGCACTGGGGACAGCAAACATCGAGGAGCAGCAAGACTAATCCTGGGGTCCAGCAGATTATGAAAGCACCTAAAAAGAGAAAGAATGGAAAAAACACAAAGTCTACAAATATACTTATGTACCATTACTTGTCAAAATATGACAAGAACCATCCAGACAGAAGCAGCAATGGTTAATTTTCTCTTTCAGGAGCATTGTTCCCACAGTCTCTTTTCACTGACCCGATGAGAGGGATGCCATTCAAAGATCTGTAAATGGTTATAGGCAGCACATCAAAAGAGCAAGGAACACCCCCAAGCCCCAGGCCCAGCCCCCCACCATCTGAAACTCTGCTTGGCGAATACATTTACATTTAAAGTTGATAATGAGGAACATTTTTTCCCTTCAGCTAGGGACCTCTGACTAATCAATCTCTTGATCAGAAGAAACAATACTGCAATTTACTTCTCAAACTAATAACAACAAAGAAAACCCTTCTATGAGTGACTGCAGCATCAGTAATAGAAAAAGAGTGGTGCAGGCAGCAATTCTCAAGAAAAAGAAAGCCTGGGTCTTGTTAACCCATTTCAGCCCCATTATGTAATGGAAAGTCCTAAACACACATCCTTCTTGCACTGAAATGCCGTCCTTCAACGGATCTACTTCTTTTCTTAGGGCTCTATTCAATCAAAATTCAGAGGCTCATCAGGCTTCAATAGTGTCAAAGCCACAGAGTCTAACACCGATTAAAATGCTTCCCCCCTCCTTTCTCTGTTTTCCAAAGCTCTGAGGAGAATAAAGCCCAGAATTCAGAGCTCAATGCAGAAATTAAATCAAATACTTTGTACTTTATTGGGAGTACTGAATTAAAGGAAGATTGTAACTCCTTGCAGGAGTTACAGGAGGTTAGAGAGGCTTTAAATATAAGCTCTGCTGGGGAAACCCTTACACACCAATCATGTCAGAACAAAGACAGGGCTCCTGTGATTTTCCAGGCTGCTTTACTGAGGTGGAAACAAATGTCTTATCATCGCTGAGCAGGATTAGCATGGGCAGCAGCAATAAGACTTCCCAGCACTATGCTGAGAGCGCTGTTTTCAAACTGGTTCTCCTGTCACTGTGGTATTTATTTGTTTACGTACTGCTCCCGTTTTTATTACAGTGATGGTCTCTTGCAGTACTGGCACCGAAGTCAGTTCCCACACCAGGCAGACTTTGCCATGCCTGCCAAGAAGGTACCAGCAATTTCCAGCTTGGGCAGTGACAACTGTAAGCTGTGCAGCTGTGCAGCTGTTGGACAGCAAACCCACCTAGATCAAATAGAAGAAGATTTTCCAAAGGGGTCTGCAAGCCTGCAATATACGCCAGGTGACAGACAAAGGTTAGCAACCAGGAGACCACACACAGAGGCTTTTTACACACCAAAAAGCATCTCTAAACTGAGTTTTCTTGCAGCTAATGGTGCCACTCAATGCCCATCACTTTGCTGACCAAGAAAGCTCACCAATGGAAAGAAGCTGGGGGATGTGTGAATTGCCAGCTGCCAGGCTAAAGCGTCGAGCTCTTTCACCAAATGACTCTGTTAGGGTCTCTGGCAGCAGTTTGACAGCACGGGGATGAAACTCTCCACGCTGAGGTGGCATCAAACATATGAACCCACTTCATAGCGTTTGTCTTTTTGTAGCTGTTTCAGATTCCAGTAGTCCTAGAAAAGGGTATTTGAAACCCATGCAAAGGACTACAGGCTTTTGTCCCTTCCTAGTACCTGTTGCCATAAGAGTAGAAAACTGTATCTCTTTATTTGCAGTATTGTCCATGCTCATGGAATCTTCCCCCTGCACAGAAAACTCTGCTGAGCTGCTTTTTGCAGAAACAAAGTCATCAATTCAAATTCAACCACTCACTGTTGAAATTGTGCATGTTGTGTTCAGCCTCCTAGCTAGTAAGGCAGCAATGGACTTTGTTCTAGCTTAAGCATCTATTTTCTTCACTGTACGCTGCCTTGGGAGAACATCAGAAATGGGAACACTGCAAGTCATGGGATCTACAGTGAAGGACAAAAGACAATGACAGCATCCTCACCAGGCCTGTAGCAGAAAAGTCCAATGTGGAAACAATGGAGCTAGCAGGAAAGCTCTCATAGCATTGTTCAAAGTTGCAATTGAAGGCTTCCAATTTTCCATTTTTTTTTTTTTTAATCTGTTGCTAAGGAACAACAGAACATTCTGTTGGCATAATTTTTGATATGTTAGAAACAGCAACAAAAAGCTCTATAGTGAGGCAGATTGGAATTTGCTCCTGAGAAAGCCCCAAAGTCATCCAGAAAAAAATCCACATGCAGATCACTGAACTGAACACTTGTCTCAGATGGAGCTCCTGAGCTCTTTGGGCTCCTCAGTATCTCAGACAGGTTCTGACAACCTATGTGCTGAGGCTTGATTGCCTGCAGTCAAGAAAAAGTGGGCTGTGGTTGAGCAACCAACTAATTGCTCTGTGCAGCTCAAGCTACACTGAAAAATGATAAAAATAAAAGTTGCCTTCCTGCCCAGCTCTGGAAGGAAGTCACCACTGTGCAAGTTGTCACCTTTCTGCTCCTAGCAAAACATCCCCCCATGCTATCGGCTCTGGCAGCTTATTGAGTGCTTGCAAATGGTGACCAAAAAATGCCTCAGGTTTGCTTACTTTTTATTTACTGTCGGTACACTGGAAAATACTGAGAAGCATCACTCACGGTAAGGATGTGTTTGAGTTAGGTACAGAGGAAAACATAAATGTCAGGCTCTTAATACTTCAGATTTAGGAAACTTCATCCATTAAACATGGAATTCTTTTTCTGCAAGGAAAACAAGGATTGAATTTTTTTTTTTCCTCTTAGAATATTTGTTGAACTCAGCTGGAAGTGAGATTAAATTCTTCCCCTCCCAGAAGTCTGTTGTGAATTGACTTCACCAAGAATGAAGATCTAAAAATACCACATTTAATAAACCAGAGACATCCAAAAGCTTCCTGCTGCCATATACTGGAAAGCCTTAAGCACACACCAAAATATTGATGTTTTTCTGCTCAGAATCAGAACTGAGAGCAGTCTAAAGTACAGTGTTAGTAATTTCCAGGTGCATCTTAACATTTTACAAACTTGGTCAAATCTAAATTACAATGACATACAAAGCAGATCTGTTGCATTTAGTGCCTTGAAGCTTTGTGGACATGCCATAGTCATACCATGGCATAGGAGAGCCCAATGTACTTGAAAAAAAGTGCAGACTTTATGTCTTTGGGCAGCTAAAGAGCACTGTTCCCTGGACAGAGAGCACTTTGGGATATTACCTCTAGCCCTGGCAGCTCTTCAAAGGAGATGGAACTGCAAGAAGCTAAATGAGCTCTTCAGTTGCAGCAGAAGGAACATTCCCATGGAGCATGGCCAAGGTCTGTCCTGAGGCTCAGGCCACAGAGGGCTGGGTGAAGAAGAAATGCCAATCAGGCTGAAAGCCCATCAGGGGTGAATGGCTAGCCATTAGACAGGAAAGCTTGAGGAAACCAGAGAAATAGCACATCTTAAAAGACTGAAGGGTCCCTACAGACTAGAGAAGCATGTCTTACATCAGGAATGAGTTACAAAAAAAGCATTTATGACCTAATCTAATTTTCTGCTGAGGTGTGATACCTCTCATCCCAGTAAGAAAAGAAACTCCAACTCCTTGTGCATTGTCTGTCTTGCAGAGTTGTGGTAGAAGTCTACTGGAGGCTTTTCAAGGTCCATGATATGACTACATCTCATCTGTCTTGAACCCTTGTCTGTTGCATCAGTGCAGATTATGTTTCCATGGTAGCTGGATGTTGGAAACCCTTAGGTAAGTGAGACTAGGCCTCACAGCAAGCTTTGATTGCAAGAAAAACTATTGTAGGCAATAGGCATATGAAACCAGCCATGATAAATCACACAAAAATCAGTGAGTGCAAGAACAAAAGAGAAAACAACTCCAAAACCCAGCACCAGAAAAGAAATAAGATACACAAGAATAAACACTGATGAGCTAGTCACTCATTACTAGGATACCAGACTGGATGGCTACTCATGAAACTTCTTGTGTTAGCAGGCAAAGTGTTTCCTAAGCAGCACTCTTTTTTCTTTTTTCTTTTTTTTTTCTTTTTTGTCTTTTGCCTTGGAGAGCCTATGTCTGTGTTTATTCTGTGAACATTTGTTTTCCTCTAACTCAAAAGAGCAAAATAAAAGAAGCACTTTTGCTTCTGCCAAGTCATACACTGCTGTCCTTCAGAGGCTCCAGAGGGATGCAGCTCTAGTCAATGCACACCTATTCTGAAACACTCCTCTGCCTTAGCCACACTGTGTCCCTTTCATGTGCTCTCTTCTATTCATCTTGTGTGTTAACCCTGATATCTGGCATGGGCTCACACTCACCCTGCAAATTCCTCAGTCTACGCAGAGAGGGAAAATATTGAAAGGGCCTCTTTTAGGGAGTGAGGGAAGAAAAAAAAAATCTCTCCTGTATTTGCAGTTTTTTAAAGATTACAGGAATAGGATAAGGAACTAGCATATCAAAGACAGAAAAGATCCATTCCAGTTGAACTGCAGGAACATTTATAACGTGCTGCTGTTGCCCTCCTACTCTTGTCCATCTGCTCTCCTCAGAGTGGTATTTGACAGGCAGCTGCAGCCCCTCTTTCTCTGGGACAACGTGACTGAGAGAGTAAAGGACATTGAACATCACTGCTATCATTGTTATCACAGCTACCAACAAGGAGAAGAGTCCTTCTGCACTTGGTGCAGGCTAAAAGCAATGCTCTGGGAGAACGATTTGTTTTAATTAACAAAACCATAGCAAAAAGGGGCTGCAGAAGTACCTGGCATTTTCCACATTCTGATGTAATCCCACCCCCATCAGGGAAAGCCACTTGCTATGCTAGCTGAGGTGCAAGCTCATCAGCTGCAACACAACTGCACTTCTTCATGTCCTAGCCATCTGTAAACTGTATCAATAGTCCTCCTTATCACACTATGCATTATCTTGTGCATAGCAAGAACAGAGATAAGTACTTCAAGCAATAGTGCCTATTTACAGCTATGTATT